GGATGTGGCTACAGCGGTACAGAGCGATTTTCTACAAAAAGCGCCCACGAAAAAAACTGTTGTGGCCGAGTCAATGGGTTCATTGTAGGCAAAACAGGCAATGTCGGAGGAAAACGAATGCGTTCGACATCGAGATTAGTCCTTCAAGGAGCCACCTGCCGAATTTGGATTTTTTTGGTGCACGGGTTTTTGAGAAACAATGTGAGAAGTCTTCCCGTGCAAGGCATTGCGAGCGCCGCGCGGAGCCCGCCAGCGCGCTGGACGGCCGGGACTTTAGCCTCCTCTTAAGGCGTTTTAGTTAAAATTTACCAATTAGTTTGATAGAAATTTGACGTCACATTATTGTGAATTGTTTTGGTTTTTATTTTTTGTATGTGCTAGTTTTGTAATTATTACATGGTTTTATGTGTTCAATTAATCATAGTTTTTCAATGTTGTTTTTATTCATTGTTGTTCTAAGTATTTGTATTTCATTATTTTATTTTTACATACTTTTGTCTCCAGTGAAAAAGTTTTTATCATATGATGTGTGTTATGTGTTTGTAGTTGTTTAGTTTTGACATTTTATTTTAATTTGTATGTGTTTGTAGTTTGTTGGTTTTGCTATTTTTTTTCTAGTTTGTTAGTTTTGCCATCTTTTATTTTATATTAATGTGTTTTAATATTTTCTAGTTTTTTTAAAACTCTATTTTAATTGTTTTTATCATTATTTAAATGTCTCTTTTCCTTTCTATAAAGACCTCAAATTACATAATTTGGTTTTTATTTTCAACATTATCAGTTCATAGCTCAAACTTTTCCGGAAAAATGATATGATCACCCTTGAGAAACAATTCATGACTTTTTAGTTCAATGTTCATGTCAGGTATAGGTCAATAATTGCTATAAACATTGATTTTCCAATCATTCAACACAAATTTATTTTTCAGTAAGTTACTACAATGGAATTCATATTTAATGGGATAATTTTTCTAAAAAGGCTTCAAATTCAAAACGCTCCTTCATACTTTTTGAATTTTTAAGATCTGACAATCTTTCGTATGGGAATGGTTTTATTAACAATCCATCCAATGTTTTGACTCGAGAAAAGGCTACATATGATATCCCAAGGACGAATTCACTGTCACCAATATCCACGTAAGCCTAAAACATATTTGAAATTGAAATTATTATTTTTTCAGAGCACATTAAAACACATTCACACATTTCATACTACATACCTTTTTTTCAGTAATTCCTTGAGACTTGTGCACTGAACATGCATAGTACAAATTAAGTGGAAATTGTGTTCTGGTGCATTGAATACCACTACTTGTCCACGATTTTGTGATAGCAGGTATAGGCACCACATTCTTTGCACCAACACCAGGTCCACTGTAATTGTTGAATTTACACATGACAACCTTTGGCATTCCAAGTGGTGGTTCTTCTCCATCTTCATACACAATGTGAACAATCTCTCCTTGTGCCCCATTCACCAATCCCTTGTCTGTCCATAAGTTGTTTGTCAACATTACTTGAGATGATTTTCCCAAATATACAGTATGTTGCAGTCCCTGAGCTTGGTCACTTGTTCCTTTGACTGCTTCCGTGTTATTGTGCTTTCCAATCACTTTAGCTACAGGGGCACTGTCACCTGTACCATCACATTTCAAGTTTTTTAATGACTCATAATTATAAGCCACAACTTGCTTCTTCATACCAAACAAACGGACAGCGTCCTTGAATTGTGAACGTTCATGTTCAGAAACATTGCAGGTAAAGCGTTTAGATAGGACAGCATAGTCTTGACGTGTAATGTCACCTGTACTAATTCGATCAAGAATACCTTGGAATGAAGGATCCTGCTGTCTAAAACACTGTCTCAAAAAGAAAACTTTGTCAACACTGGCAATCAATGCTTTGCCTTGTTCAGCAAGACCGGGTTCCTTAGGGGTTTTGTATAAAGCCGTGTCACATACCGGAGGAAGTTGTCTAATGTCCCCCAACATGTACACATACAACTTTCCAAACGGCTCATTGACACCTTTCCCTTGCCTGCATCGAAGATCTATTTGTCTAAGCATTCTGCATCCAACCATGGAATATTCATCAATGATCAACACTTTGACTTTTTTCATGCTAGTGGAAAACTTTTTAAGGGCATCTCCACTCAAGTCTTGAAAATCTTTGCTCTGCGTAGGTAGATGTAGAGCAGAATGTATGGTTTGACCACGAATATTTAAGGCTGAGACTCCTGTTGGGCCAAGTACCATGACAGATTCCTGACACTGTAAAACTTCATGTGCCTTCCACCTTAGGCAATTTATTAAATGGCTTTTACCTGTTCCTGTAATAAGAAACAACAACAAGAAATATTAAAAGAAAAAGACCAATATGAATGTCAATAAATATGTTTGAAAGTGATAAACAAACCAACCTGCTTTTCCTTGAACTATTGTAATATATGGTATCTCGGTCCTTGTTACATCCAATACAATACATTGCAACTGTTCATGGAGTTGATCAACAACAGCTTCCTGATCTTCACTCAAAGAATATGCATCAGGATTGCATAGCGAGTCGTTTATAGAGGAGCCCTTGGCTTCTGCTTTCTTGACCTTGATAAAATTTTCCAGTTCATTTAAAGACATGAAATTAGTGTAGTTTTTAGCCTCCTCTGACCAATTGAAATTTAAGTCAGATTCTCTCAAACCTATATCTACAGGTGGTGCTGTACGGTTTGGTCCCATTCTAGCCAACACCATAAACTCTTCCAAGTTCTCATCTTCCACTTCCACTTGATTCCAAATTTTCTTCTTCATCTTCCTCACAAGCAACCTCGACAGGATCAAGATGCAAACCATCTGCCACTCCAATTCTATAAAAGTCATAGAGTTGTTTCCAGGATTGGTTCATAGTTTCAAAAGTAGTCACATCCCTCCATGGAACATGAAGCAACACAAGTTGTCTATAGAACATCTCATTCTCATCATCATTAGACTTCTTTGTCAGTTTAGGAAATACCCTAACAATGTTCTCTTTAACTTTCTTAAAACATTTTGGATTAGTCACATTATACTTCTTGCAAAAGTTCATCAAAGATTCATTTTCAAGTCTTTCTGGCCTAGTTTCATATTTCTCAAGAACAGTTTTGCCACTTTGAACATTATCTCGGATTACCCTTGTGTGTGCATTGTCCATTTTTAAATTTACATTTACAAATTTCCTACCCCCAGCAGTGAAAAGGTTTCTACCAGACAAGATATGGCAAACCTCTTGGGCAGAATAATCTCTGTCAGAGCATGTGCGAATGTACAGTCTTCGGATTGGCCTCAGAATATTATCTCCATCACCAAAATCACTAAAGACCACTTGAAACAATTCCCTCAATGATGATGATCTTATTTCAGACTTAGAAATATACTTTGATAGATAAATTAAAAGTAATTTCTTGGATAAGACAGGTCATATGTCAAAATTCCCCCGCCATATGAGCATGATTAACGCCTGAAATTTGTTAAGCAATGGGTCATTCCTCGCAGGCTCGTATTGCAATTCCCCATTTTCATCAAAATAAAATAATCCACTTTCTCGAACAGTAAAGGGAAATTTAAATCTGCATTTTTTCAGGCCACCCCTCTTAGCCTTTAAACAATACTCTTCGGAACATTTAGTATGCCTTTGACATTTCACCAAAAGTTGAGCTAAATCCTCATCTATTTCTTCTTTTGTTTTGTTCATCACATCTTGGAACAATGTTCGGCACGGATGTGGTCCATGACACTCACAATTCAAATTTGGGTTGACGGCAGTTATCAAAAGTTTATCAAAAAACTCAGCAATTTCTTGAAGTTTAGCTTCATCGTTTGGATCAACATTGGTAAGGTCTGGAGCACCATCGATCCAAAAGACCCCATGTGTGTGTGGGCTTCCCCTTTAAAAACACAAAAAAAGAACCATAAGTAGACTTTAAATTATTATGCACAAACAGTAAACATAAAATTGACATGTAGGCCAAGCTACTGAAAACTCGGCCAAACAGCGGAGAAGCTTGATGATTTTAGAAACCGCTGCAAGAACTATCTCGTAATTCTTTGCAGTGTTATCAAAAGTCGTTTTGACTTTGCAAATAACCTTCTCATGGCACCGCCAGTGCTAAAATCCAAAATA